GGTCTAGGAGGTTCTCATTGCAAGGACTCCAGGTCCAAAGATGAGCTCTGCTCCTGGCTCTTCTCCTTGATAGTAGTAAGGTCTCACCCCAGCCTATGGGATTGGCTCACTTTAAGTCTAGTGGGATGGCAAAACTGACCAATTCTCTACAAGGGATCCATGCACATTATTTGTACTAGCAAAACTGTCCAATCCTTCTGGTGGGCCACTAGCACTTTATTTTCATAGTCCCACCCAATCATTCTGTGGGAGTTACAAAACTATGGCTAGAAGGGCCATATTAAAGCAATTCACTGCACCGCAGGTTATAAAAGACTGAATTTTTTCATGCTAGCTGACTCTGTTTATTGCCTTCTTGACTTGCAAGCGTTGGTGAAGCAAGCTCCCATGTTGGAGAGGATTATATGGCAGGGGCCTGAGTGTGGCCTCCAGCCAACAGCTTGCAAAAAAACTGAGGTTCTTAGCCAAACAACCGATGAGTAACTAAACCAGCCAACACCATGTGAGCTTGGGAGTGGGTCTCTCCCCAGCTGAGACTTGAGATGACTATAGCCCAGCCAATTCCACCTAAGAGAGACTCTGAAGCAGAGGATACAGCTAAGTTGTGCCTGAATCCCTGACCCACAGAAACAGGTAATATTTGTGCATTATTTTAAGCCACTATGTTTTGGGGTAATTTGTAACACAGCAAAAGATGACATTCAAAGAAGCAAGAGACAAACAGGTCATTGTTAAAGACACAGCTACCACATTGTTCAGCTAATCAGGATGCCCGTCAGCCTGAATATGTGAGGAAACAGCTGTCCATTTTGTCAGTTGGTGTAGACCTGCTGTTGTGTGGGAAGAGAAAAAGGAGTAGTTAATGCTGATCCTCTGCTCAATTAACCAGGCCTGTGGGTCAAGGAAAAGAGCTCCACCTCTGTGGGTGTGAAGCCAAGCACCCTGATTCGAGAAGAGCCTGTTTTAGAAGCCACACAGCACATGACACCTTAGTTGTAAGTAACAGAAAACCACTCTCAGGCTGGCCTAGACACAAAGGAAATTTAATGGTCTTCAGAAAGAAAAAAGTAGCCCCTGAAATCTAGGAACTGGCCTGACACTCACAACAAGACCTTGGTGTTATTAGGAGATATAAGTTGGGTCATATGCCAACCCAAGGCCAATTATGATGGCGAGGAGGATGGAACCCCCGATTAGGTGTATGACTGGGTCACATGCCCACCCCTGCCCAAACAATCTGGACCGAGAGTGGAGGGTTCCCCAGAGGTAATTGAGAACATTCTATACGAGGGAAAAGTGCATGGATTCTAGTGCGGACACATTATTCCCCAACATGAAAAGCTGGGCCAGCACATGAGTATGTGAAATGCAGGCTGGGGCCCCTCACTGATGAGATCCATGGGCGTTGGAAAGGGCTTGGTTCCTGGAGGAGAATGGACAAGGGTGAGGAAAAGAGGCTCTCTCCAGGCCTGGGAACAGCTCTTCCTGCAGATCTGCCTCCTGTGTCTGAGATCCTGGCAACCCTGTAGGAGCAATGTGTACCCAAGTGGCTCTTCCCTAACCTGGGCAGCCTCACCTCGCATCTGAAAGGCAATACGCAACCCATGTTCTGAAGCTTAGGTCCTTCCTCATTCAAAGCCTCATGACTCGTTGGGACGAGTACCGTCGTGAGCGTGTGTGTGCGTGTGTGCGTGCGTGCGTGCGCGCGTGCGTGCGTGCGCGTGCTTGTGCGTGTGGAAAAGGGCCGGACGTATCCAAGGCGACGCTAGCCGCTGGAGCCGAGCCGTCCCCATAGGAACCGCAGGACGCGCGCCCAGCATGGGCCGGCTCCAGCCGCTGCGCAGGCGCGTAACTGCTCCGCCTAACAGGACTGCGCCTCCCAGAAGGCCCCGCGACCACCCGACAACCCGCCCCCACAATTCCGCTTCCCTAGAGGCTCCTCAAGCTGGGGCCGAAGCCGTGAGTCTGGTGGAGGGTCGTCGTCCACCCAGGCTCAAACTCCCTCCTGCAGCTGTCGTCGTCACTGCTGTCACCGCTGCGCGAGACAGGCCGGGGATCCAGGAGTGGCACTCTGGGATCACTGAGAGCGAGGCCTCTGAGCCCACCGAAGAGGTCCAGAAGTGGCCGCGGTCAAGGCGGAAGCGCAGCGCCGCGAGTGACTGTGGGCAGGCGCTCCCCCCACGCCCTGCCCCCTGTGTCGCAGCGGATCGTTTCTTCCTCGCCCGCTGCTCGCTCATTTGTGAGCCCCTCAGTCGTTTACTTGTGTAGTGTCCCTTCCGATTTCTCATTCATTCGCTCATGCGTCACTCATCCCGCTCCCGGATTCCGCGCTTTGTGCTCTAGGCCACGTTATTACTTACCCCGGTCATTCATTAACTAAATTAAGAAACCGATTCCCGCGCCGCTTC